TGGGTGTGTATTTCCCCTTCAGTGCCCTCCACAAGGCTCTTGGCCTCACTCAGCTCTGCCTGGCTCACATCTGAGCACACCCCATACTATATGTGGGAATGCCAGAGATGAGAATAGTATTGGTCTCATCAGAGCCAAATGTAGCCAAGCAGGGGATGCTTAACACCACTACAAAATCCATCTATGCATCCATTTACTGTCCTGAATAAGCTTCTGCTGTACCTGGGGACCAGGAGTGAAGCTACCACAAGCTGACCCACCCAAGGCTGCCCCTGCCATGCTGGCAGCCCTGCTGTTGTGAGTGTTGAACTCTCCTCCTTATCAGCTAGCCTGGATGGAAAGCAGAGCCTAGCTTTGTCTCCCGTGAACTGCAGGAGCATCACTGCCACAGGAGGATGATGAAGCCAATATTGACATCAGCACTTCCAGAAGCACAGACTGAAATTGTGGAAGCAAAGGTCGCATTTCTAGAAAGCAGTTGGGCAGGAGGGACAGGAAGTGAGGAAAGGAAGAAGAGTCAGCCCCGTTCCCAGAAACAAAGCTGTGAGAGTAGACTGCTGAAGAGGGACCATGTCACCAAGCTTGGTCCTGCACAGGAGTGGGCACAGCTCCAGGGGACTGTGACCAGAACACAGGAGTAGTCTCCCAGCCTGGTGTTCCCACCGCCCACGAAACATGCCTCAGCTCTGCTGCTAGTAATTGAATAGAGAGAATTAATTGCGAGTGGGCTGTGTCTCCCCTTCCCGCTCCTCGTTTGCCCTGGGGCTGTCTTGGTGCTGTGGGTAGTGAAGACAAGGTCATTCCCATGTAACACATCCCAGTGGGGTTTGGCCAAGTTCCTTCCCTTTGTGGGGTGAGGGCTGGTTAATGGCGAGCAGCAGGATTGCCCCAGGCTGCTCTGTGCTGCTCAGCCATGGAGGAGCTGCTGTTGCCTCTGAAACGCCCCATTAAAGCTGTGGTGAAGGATCAGCAGGCAAGGCTGGGGGCACTGGGCTGCAGGGCTGGGAAGGGTGAGGGTGGAATGGGCTAGCATCCCTCTGGCTTTGCTGGGAAGCCTCCATGTGTTTATTTTTGGGGTGGCATTTATGGTTTATGACTAAGCATCCTCCAGGAATGTATGTAAAGCATTACAGGATCCTGGGTGTTATGCATTTTGGCTCTCCTTCCTATGGTGTTGGAGCAGAGGGAGATGCTTGGGTGCAGGGCACTGCTGCCCACACTTCAATGTCCTCACCTTTGTGTGCCCCAGCCTTTGGCTAACCCTCAGCCCCGTGCCAGCCACCCCACTGCCTACACTGTCTCTCCTCTTTCAAAGGCAACTACTGTGCAGGCGGTCCAAGCCCTCTGCACCTGCAGAGAGGAGCTCTCCTCGCCCTCCAGCCGGCTCAGACTTGCAGTGTGCCGCTGCAGTGCTGCTCTCCTACATCAGTCGAGTTTAGTGCTGTGGTCCTGTCTGTGTCCATGGCCTGGCAGGAGCAGGGAACTGTGCTTGTTGGCCCTTCTCTGGGAGTGACAGCAGTGTCCTGGTTCCTTCTCCAACAGATAGTTTTGCCTGAAACTGTCTGCTGATAGTCCCCACAAAAGAGGTGTTAAAGGCAAAACTAATGTGGGTGTTTTGCTGGCTTCCACTCACCCCAAGTTCTCCCAGCCTCCTCTTACGATACGAACTCCCAGTTTGGTAGGAGTCCTTGTCTCCACTCAGCCCTGTTTGGACTGGTTGCCCCTAAAGCTGTGGTTGGTGTTGGTTTTCTTGGCTCTGCCTTTCTGAAATAAGGGATGCTTGTGGGGAGGTTTCAGGCAGAAGCTCAGGGAAGAGCTGGCAACAGGTACACCTTGCTGGCTTTGATATCTTGTGGGGAACAGCATTTTATGCTGCTGTCCCTCACTCTGCACAAGGAGAAGAGTGTCAGTGGACTAATTCTGACCTGGACTGGGCTGGACGAGAATGATAAAGAAGCAGGCTGGAAGCTGAAGCTGGAACCCAGTTGTATCCTACGGATGTACAAAGGGACATCCTGGGAGAGAGCAGGGATGGTGCAGGGGTGGCCTTGGGTTAGGGGGCTCAGTACTGAGCATCACTGGGGGAACGAGAAGAGCCTCCCACAACACCCTCTGTGCTCTCTTCAGTCTCTGCTGTACAGGGGCACAGTCTGCTCCAGAGTCTCACAATCACTCACCTGCTGCCCCTTCCATCCCAAGTCCTCTCCTGGTCTGCTTGCTACCTTACTGCAGTCTAGGCTGCTCCAGGAGCTGCCCTCACACTTCCCAACTGCCAGGAGGCTCTATGTGGGGTGCAAAGGGGAGAGAGAGGAAAAAGTTTGAGAGCAAGCCTGGATCCCATCTAGGCTGGGACAGACATCTCCATGTCCTGGTTCCTCTCTCTGCTCCTTCTTGGTTTTGTAGTCCTGCAGCTGCATCTTAGTACTCTCAGCTTTGTGGGAAAAGGGGTGGGAGGGCTGCAGCTAATGTCTGTTATCTGATGCTTCATCTGGAACATTTAGCATCCCTGAAGAACATGAAGTACATGAGCTTTCTCGAAGAAAATCACTCCTGTGCCTGACCAGCCTAAACACGATCCCAGTTCTGCAGATCAGGGCAATGGAGCAGTGAGGCAGCAGGATAGGATCTGATGTGACCACGCTAGTAGCCTCCCATAGGGACCACAGCCCACTGGCTGCTGGAGCACTTGGGGGCACAGCAGGTCCCCAAGTCTTTCTTGGGGAAAAAGAAGGGCTTTCTTCCACCGGCTCCACAGCAGTTTGACCTGAGGCCCAGCTGGTCTCAGGAGCAGAGGGCATAGTTTCTCTTCTCCACAGGAGAGCCAGACAAGCCATTTAGCCTCAGTGCCTAGGAATGGAGGGGACCCTCACCCTGGGGACCAGGGGTCTTATCTCAGATGGCCTGTGAAGGAGCTGACAGGCAGACTGATTTCCCTTGTGCTGCCTGGCACAGGAGAGAGCCTATCTAAAAAGGTTTGTTTTTTCTTAAAAAACAAAAGCAGAGGTGTGTGTCACTCTTGATGCAAACATGGGTGGGCTGTGAAGCCCAAGGGAAGAAGGCAAATCCCTCCATGAAGGCACCCAACTTCCTACCCTGCAAGGAGCAGATTGGGGCCACGATCTGAGACAGCAGGAGAGGTGGGATGAGCCCAGAAGCTGTGATGTTGCCTGTCTCTGGCTGCTGTCACCAACCTGCTTGTGTCTTTTCTGTTCCCAAAGGTAAAGTAGGATAGGGGCTGTGGAGGCTTTGGCTGTGGGCCTGAGGATGGCTGGCAGGAGTGTCGTCAGTCATCCGCTGTCAGACGAAGTGTGGCCACCCCTGGGTGATCCCACACCGGCTTGATTTTACAGCCATGACTGGCACTTGAGCCTGTTTGCTGAGGGCAGGGGGCACACGGGACTGTCAGCTTGCGGCTGCCTCTGACCCCGTACAGGACACCATAAATCTCCCCATTTAAGGCAGCCTGGGCTGTTCTGGACACGGTGCTATTGAGTAGAGTGTGGTGTGCGGGGTGACATGTGGCTTGAAACTGTGCCCATCAGGGGTAAAGCAGAGGTGGCCACTGGTGAGGAAGAACATCATCTGCAAAATAGACAATGACTAAATCCCTTGAATTTTTAATATATTAAAAAATTAGGATTGTCTGAATTTAGAGATTTAGAGCATGAGGAGTATCTA